AAAATGAAAAGAAACCTCTACAGTCCTACTTGCTGTGGAAGATGTTTTCCTGTCCTGTGAAACACTCCACAGACTAATAAAAGTGGCTCCTAGGATGGAGCTAAAATCTCAAGCCCCTGGAATCCTAGTTTCAGGACCAGGAACTACAGAGACTGAGGTCAAGCATGAAGGACGCTGAGCATCAAATTTCAAAACAAAACTAAAACAGTAAAGAATCTCAAAAAGCAAAAGTGGCAGTCAAGACCCATGATGTCTTCAATCCTACCAACTCCTTAAGCCCTTTACAGCCCTCCTCACTGGCAGTCGGAGACAGACCCAAGCCTGCTTCCAGCCTGCTTGTCATTCAGCCTTCAATAAAGCACTCACTTCTTGTAAAACCCAGCGCTATGAGCCGGCTTCCATGCACACCAGGCAGCAAGCACTGCTCAGCATCAGTACCAGTTAAGAAGAAGCACTGAATTAAATCTACAACGATGCAAAGCTTTAGAAATAAAGGAAAGCTTCCTCAACTTAGTAAAGAACATGTAAATAAATAAATAACTATCCACATCCCTACAGCTGACATCACATGAAATAGTGAGAAAATAAATGATTTCTCCTACAGCCAGGAAGAAAACCGTAGGAATGGCCATCGAGCTCAGGCAATCTATGAAGTACTGAAAGTGCTGGTCAGCACAATAAGTGACAAAGGGATATAACAGCATATCAACTGGAAAGAGGAAATAAGACTGCCCCTGTTTGCAGATGACTCAATGGTCTCTGCAGAATATCCCAGGAAAATTATCAGAAGCAAAAACAAGACAAAACAAACCAAAGCCACCCCAACAAACCTCAGATAAACGATATCAGCAAGTTTGCAGAATACAAGATCAAAATATAAAAAACAATCCTATTTCTGCATACTAGAAGGGAACAAATGAAAACAGTATCATTTATAATTGCTCAAAAACAACTTAGATATAAATTTAACAAAACATGTTAGGACTTGTACCCTGAAAACTACAGAATGCTGATTAAAGAAACTAAAGAGCTAAATAAATGGAGAGAAAGAGTGTGTTCTTAACATGCAAATTATGGCACATTGTGATATTACTTAAAATGTATTAGCACAGCCAACTATAAAATTAATGACAATGCCAAATGCTAGAGAGGAGGCAGAGAAGCTGAATTTTTCACACATTGCTGGTGAGAATGTAAAATGGCACAGTCAAAACAAACTACTGACACACACAGTTAAGTGAGATGAATTCTATGGAAATTATGCTGAGTGAAACAAATGTCAATCTCAAAAGGCTGCATACTTCATAGGTCTGTTTATGCCATTGTACAGATGACGAACTGGGAGGAGGAGGACAGATCAGTGGCCATCAGAAGCTAGGGCCAGCCAAGGGTGAGTGGACTGGCCTACAGAGGAGCGGCCTGAGAATAACCTTGATCACAGAAGTTTTCTTCCATTCATCCTGGGGATGGAGCCCAGGACCTCACACACGTGAAATCTCTAAGGCCAAGGAACTGTGCCACTGCCACTTTTTGGTTGTGGTATCACATACTGTAGTTGGGTTGCACACTACCACTTGGGAAAGCGAGGTGAAGGGGACAGGATAGCTCTACTGTCTGCAATTTCCTATCAATGTTTACAACTTTTTTTTTTTTTTTGCGGAACCAGGGATTGAACTCAGGCCCTTGCACTTGCCAGGGAAGCACTTATTCCACTGAGCTATCTCCCCAGCCCCAACTATTTTAAAATAAAGACTTAGATGTAGCCTTCCTGTGTAGCTGTCCTGGTACAGCACTCAGGAAGCAGGCCTTCAGTGAGGGTGTGACCTGCACCATCTTTAGGAAGCCCTACAATGACCAGCAGAAACTGAGCCACATTCTGAGAAGAGCGAACAGCTGCCAGGTGATTCCAGCCTCTCCAGGTTAAGGTGATCTGCCCCAGATTTCGAGTCCAAAGACAGAGCCAATGGACCAAGTAAAGAATTTGTACCTTCCTAAAACATACCTATTTCCATTTTTTCACTAAACACTATCAAGAGTAGAGAGTGGGACATGATTAGAAAACTATGAAAGTTGCATACATTGATAACAACAAGAAGATGCTTTGGGAAATACGTAACTGGAGATAGGCGTGGTAGCATACAGGAGGATCCAAGCTTGAGCCCAGCCTGGGTAATTTAGCAACTTGGTGAGCCCTCTTCTCAAATTAAAAAATATATATTAATAATAACAGTAACAATAAAATAATAATAATGGCTGAAGATGCAGCTCAGTTACATTGAGCTCAGTTACACAAGGCCCCTAAGCTCAATCCTTCAGTATTTCCTCCCCTAAAAAAAAAAAAAAAAAAAAATCACACTTGGAAATAATCAAATGAGATCTTTATAACACATTGAGTGGGTCCCTATATTGTTTCCTCACAGTGCTGACTACCCAACTGTGAGACCAAAACACCCCAGGGGCACTGCAGGATGTCTTACATTTTGGTGGGAAAAACAGTGATGCTGAACATCTGTCAGGTACTACACAAGCTACTAGCTTGAGACAGGTCACAGCTGCAGTCTAAGGTTGTCCTACATTTGCAGAGTCAGAACTAGAACTATTAGGTATTTCTTCTGACCTACAGTTCTCATGAAACAAATTAGTGACGTGCAGAGGCACCATGAATGAGAAAGTTTGGGGCCATGTATTCCAGGGTGTGGCTGGTGTTTCCCTAATCTACTTCAAGCATCCTGGAATACACAGCCTGAACATCTCTCTCACTTTACACATTGCAAGCACAACCTCTCTCCATCTGGATTCCATCTACAATCTTATGAGAACAGGATGCCCAGGTAGCAGCCTACTTGTTTGCTCTTTACTCACATGACCATCTTTGGAAAGCTGCACTCTCCAATGCTGCTAGACAGCCACTTCCCTACCTAAAACCCTTCACTGCCTCCCATGTCCCGCAGAAACATTTCAGATGCCATTCAGTGCTCTCTGTGACCCTTCCCTAGCCTAATGCTCCCTTCCTTGTCACCCCTCTGGCCTCCTGCTGCCCAAACCCCAGTGGTTCTGCCAGTGGACCTCTGTGCTTCTCCAAGGCGTCTGCGCATGCCGTTTTCCTCCTAATGTTCCTCCTCCCTGGGATCCCAGTGACCAGCAGCTCCTCCATGAAGCCTTTCCTGGCAGCTCTCACACCACTTCTGGGCAGTTTTCTCACCTGTGTTATCTTTCTGTTAGACCATGTTTGAAGGCAGGGGCCATATTTTATCCATCTTTTTTTTTTTTTTGCAGGACCAGGGATTGAACTTAGGCCCTTGTGCTTGCCATGCAAGTGCTTATTTATTGAGCTATCTCCCTGGCCCCTCAACTCATCATTTTTAATAACCAGAGCAGCACCAGACACACATGTATGGTCAACAGGGATTATGCAAAACAGTGATGCACTCTCTCAGGCTCTCCTCTGTTCTTGTTTCTTTATGATTTATTTTGGTAAATTCAATCTCTTTGTAGCTACTTTTAATACTTCAAATCCCAGGTCCCTGATGTTCCCAGAACACATCCTCCTTAAATGGTTAAGTCTGTGACAGACAGATATACAAAATCTACCCATAATCGAAGTACAAGGCCTTTTTGCCTTATACTTGTTTGAAATTAGAGTTTATGAAATTTTAATCAAGTGATTCCTGTATTATTAAATATCATTAACTTGAGAAGTTGATGGGGAAGCCACTTATGTTACTGGGGGTAAGGAAAGAGGTCTTTCAGCGCTCAAGTTACGGCCTGACTTTGTCAACATGAAAAGCATTTAGCTAAGTAGACAACATGGCTCATTCTTGACCTTACTACTTTTTGGTATTAACTGTTCGTGTGGTACAGCTCACATAACATAACATGGCCTTTAACAGAGTCATGAAGCTGTACAGGTAGCCAGCACCACTATACAATTCTAGAACACGCGCATACCCACTGGCAGTCACTTCCAGTCTGTTCTTCCTCCAGCCTCTGGAAACACCAACCTACTTCCTACCTCTATGGGTTTTCCTACTCTGTTTCCTATAAATGCAACCATACAATATATGGCTTTCTATATCTGGTATTTTTCACCTAAAACTATATTTTCAAGGTTTATCCATGTCCATTACTTTCTTTCTTTCTTTTTTTTTTTTTAATGTATTTAGTGCAGGGTCTACAGGGTCTCACTGTGCAGATCAGACTCGTAGTGATCCTCCTGTTTTCAGCTTCCCAAGCGCTGGGATTACAGGCACGTGCCATCACACCCAGCCTCATTCTCTGTCTCAGGTCACCCCAGGGCCAGGGCTGGCCTGGCATGGGGATCAAACACCACTGCCCAAAAGCCATGTTATTTCTCTGTCAGTATTTCAGCAAGGACAGAACTGTTACGGCAGCTTCATGGACACTGGTACTGTGCTAAGGGTCTTTTCTTCTTACTTTAGCACCCTATCTTTAGCATATACTGCATTTTTTCTTTGCTAGGCATTTCTTACTTTAAAAAGACACTAGATTAGGGTATTTGTTCTGACAAATAAAAGTACTAAGGGGAAAGCAGAAATAGTATTACAATCCCAAACGAAATTCTCCAGATGCCAAAACTCAAAACAATCTGAAACTTGATAAATACCTCAATATTTTTTCTGACAACCAGAATCTCATATGGGGGTTGTTTACTACTTCAGCCTTTCCTTGTCATCCCAGGGATGGACTAGGGGTTACTGCAAGGGTATTCTAGTTTTGTTTTTAGCATGTACCTCTAAAATTTACAAACCAGAAAGCACTCTAAGATGTCTATATGAGGACTAAAAACAGCAGCAATTTTCCCCAGAGGAATTTATGAACCTTAGAAACAGAATTTAGGGTTTTTTCTTTTTACAACTTTGCTAATGTTTATTTTAGGACACATAGTAGAAAAGCTGAGAATCACCATAATAAAGTGAGGAGAAAGTAAATTTATAAACAGAAGAAAGGATCAGACGTATGCACGTCGATGTCACTTTTACCTTTTTGTGCGCTATCAGGAGGCAGTTGGAATGTTCGTGCTCACATGCAATTTCGTAGTCAGGGATCAGACCCACCAGCTCACGGACGAAGCGGACGACCTCCTCATGCCAGGGCACATTGGCCATGGTGAGGCTGCTTGCGGAGCTTTCCCCACAGTAGGTGACACCCTGTGGGAACATCACAACGATCAGGGATGGTTACAGATGCACTTGAATGTCACAAAGAATTCACAGCCAGAAAGTCTTCAAGGTCATCTAACCTAAGTCAAGCCAACCCATATTTTGAAATAAAAAGGGTGGTAAAAATTGCAGAGGGGACCATACAAGGTGTTAGTGACAGCAGCAGGGGACCCAGGCCAAGGAGCAGCTGTGTTTTGTGCTGTGTGACACCCACTGACATCTAGGCACTCCAACAGATTGGCACCAACAGCGTATCTTTCCATGCAGAGCCAGTGCTGCACTGTAACAGATTAATTCTAAAGGACTTACAGTCCCATGGTACAGTGATGGCAAAGCTCCTAGAGCTCTCAATGACAAAACAGCCTGCTGCAGCACAGGCGCTACAGGTTTGCTACCACTGCCCTAGTAAGTAAATACACTCATAAATAAGAATGAATGAGGGCCGGCGAGATAGCTCAGCAGACGGAGCACCTGCTTAGGCAAGCGCAGTGACTGGGGTTTGATCCCAGGTACCACATGCTGTGCTGGCCCTGCCACCGGGTGCACTGCGCCAGCCACCAAAACCAGGTGTGGTGGCACAGGCCTTGTAATCCTAGCACTGTGAAGGCTGAAAACAGGAGAATCACTATGAGTAGGAGCTGCATAGTGAGACCCTATACCAAATACATTTAAAAAAAAAAAAAAAAGTGAAATGAGAAGAAAGATTTGTACTAATAGCATCTGGACAGGATATCCTTCCTGTCTGCATCTTATACTACAGATAACCACTAAGAAGATAACAATGCACAATGCATTAATTATTGAAACTGTCCTATTAATCAGTTTTGAAACTGTCTCATTGCTATTTGTTTCTCAATAAAATAAAAAAACATTTTTAAAAAAGTGAATGAACACATTCTCCAATATAACTGAGATCCAGGCTGTCATGCTTTAGACACCCATAAAAATTCACTAACCAATAACTGACTGGCAAACAAGGCAAGCTGCCCTCCCCAGGGTAAGTGAGATTGAGACTGTTGTACTTCCTATCCCTTTTCTGTAAAGGGTCAAATAGGAACCCCTGTGAGATTATTCTTTAGGGAGATCACTTTGTGATGCCCTTTGAGGATGAATATATATATATATATATATATATATATAATCATATTGCACACATACATACATACATACATACATACACACACTTACCCTGCCAATCCAGGAATTCCTATGCAATCAACTGCAATAAGATAAGCTGGTTTCTAACTTTTCTGAACTCTGCCTGACAACCTAGGCATATCTCAAAAGTTTCATAACAATTCTTTGCTTGATGAATGACATAATGACAGATGAATAATTTTCTAATAATAAGAGGTATCTCAGTTCTGTGGACTCTTCAAATACTCCCAAGTCAAAAATTTTTGACAAGTGGTTTGACTGTCTTCTAGGTAGTTAAAAATTAAATAAAAAGGTATGCAGCACTCATACAGTGTCTGTCTGTCTGTCTCTCTCTCTCTCCCCCCTCCATTCCTCCCTCCTTCCGTCTCTTTCACACACACATACATAGACTGGAAGGGGCAGAATGGCATTAAAAAAAAAAAAAAAAAAGAGCACTGTGCAGTGACCCTGACCCACAGATGGCGGAGCTGGGACTTGGCTGAAGACTCTGATGAGCTCTGAGATGCGCTACTGCAGATGGCTGTTCACAAAGATGCCTGGTACACTGAACTGAGATGGGCTTTGCTGAATACAAACTACCCACAGCCGGCCTAATTACAATAAACAAGAAAATCTTCCCCATTTGCCCACTGATTAACAGAATTCATTAAACCAGGATTAATTTTAGGTGACTTTTTAAGAAAGTAAATAATAACATAGTTCAAAATACCATTAAGGGGGCTGGTGAGATGGTTCAGTGGTCTAAAGCACCTACTTAGAACAAGCTTAGCAAAGCACAGGGACCGCGGTTCAATCCCCCAGCACCACATGCCAGCCAGCCCCGCCCCCTGGTGGGCTGAGCTGGCCACACACACACACACACACACACACACACACACACACACAAATAAATAAATAAATAAATGAATTTAAAAAAAATACCATTAAGAACGCATGGCTGAGACTGGGAATGCGGCTGAGCAGCACAGCGCCTGCCTGGCAAGCACAAGGCCCTGAGTTCGATTCCTAGTACCCCATGCCCCACCCAAAAAAGAAAGTATTGTTGAAAAACTCACAAATACATAAACAAACAGGAAGATGATTTATTGCTAAGTTATAAAATGCACTTAGCTTCAATTTAAATACTGCTTATGTTATATGAATTATACAATCACGCAATAGCTCTTTCAAAGGAATTTCTTTAATATTTAAAAAGTTCACCAAAGCATGGAGATTTCAGATAAAATTGTATAGTCGTGACAATGACTGTTGAAAATGTTGTAATACTTTATTATTCAGCAATAATAAATCATGAAACATTAAGGGAGGTTTGGTTTGAAAATACTGTTAAGAAAATGAATGCCACTCTCACCATTAGGCCTTCACAGCGTACTTCTCCTGACAATCTTGGATGCTTTATAATTTATAAGGCCCTTCTGCACAGAAGTTGTCATTTTATTCAGACAAAACCCTCTGAGATAAGCAGCACTGGCCCAGCCAGCTCTGCACTGTGACAGAAATGCTCTGGGCATAAATGGCCTCTGGGAAAGGAGGTAGCAGGTCACCTGCTGAGGGCATCAGTGGCTCCTGACTGTCAAGGTCTGCCAGCCGCCCAGCTTTGCCACCTCTCTTCCGCCTGTCCTCTGGGCCGCTGGTGGCTCCGCTTTACTCCTGAGCGCAGCTGAGCCTGAGTTACCTAAAACCACTCAGTTTTCTTTCTGCTACATCATGGCTGTCTGCCACCTTGCCCGCTGTCACCCCACTTAACAGCCCTCAGCCAGGAATGAAGAAAATAAATGGGTGCAGCATGGAGCTCAAAGAACAGTCACTCACTCCAGCAGCTATGGGCTGGGGAGTGACAAGCAGACCTGAAGCTATGAGAACAGGACCGTAACACACGACCCACACCCGGCAACCTGGTGGCTTTTGGATGCATCTCACTGCTCTAGGAGACAAAAGCCAAGCAAGTCCTGCTTCAACGGCCGCTTGGAAAGTCTGCCATGGGATTCACGTCCCGGGAAGAGCAGGATTTCCAGTCTATTTGATATTCCACTCAACCTGAATGGATGTCAAGAAATTTCTAATAGTTTTTGTCCCCTGTAGTTTGATGTCTAAAGAAATACTTAATGGAATAGTTTTTGGCAACATATCCAAAACATGTCACTCCTTTAACCCCAAACTGCTTCAACAACTTCCCTCCAAAACCAGCTGCAGCGTCTCCACACAGCATGTGAAACCATTTTGCCTTTCTCTGTGGCCTTCTTCTAACCAGGAATTCATGACCCTTGCTTGGCCCCCACATCCACAAGGGGCCTCAGAGCTGGTGGCCGCGTCACCAGGACACCTTACCCCGCAGGCCTTGGTAGCCCTGGGGCACCAGCGGGGGGCTGTGGCTACCCTCAGAGCTTCCAGCCTGGGCTCCGTGAGCCCAAGACCCAGCCCTACTGTTCTGCACCCAGCGACCCCCAGAGCTCTTTCGGCATGCGCTTGCATTTGTATCGCTCCACAGTTCCTGCTCTTTCCTGACTATGAACCAAATGCTAGGCAGGCCTTGCGCACCGCTGCGTCAGGGAACTCCAGCAAGGCTCCTTGTGTGGAGAAAGGCTGCACTATGCAGGACAATCACTTTGCAAGGTGCGTGCTGCGAAGACTGAGCACTGCAGACAGTCACAACGCTACAGAAAGCAGGTGAAATCATTTGACAACAAATAATTACTGAGCACTTACTGTTCTCGCTGTGCAACGTGAGACAGAGAACACAATGACAGCATTTCACTTACAAAGGGATTGTGTTATTAAAGTTTTCAGCAAAGCAGATGTTTGTAATATAAAACACATCTTCACAAACAAGCAAGCAAATGACAGTTAAGAGACTCAGGCTAGCAAAGAAAAGCCCACTTAAGCCTAATGAAGCTAAAATACATGTTAATTTACAGGGAATATAACAAAAATAGTTTATAGGACTGGCAAGGAAAGAAAAGAGGAAATCAATATAATAAAGAAATTGCTTCTTTTGGTTTAGTTTCAATGAATGTGCTTAATGGAAAGTGATCTCAACATTTACTGAACACAGGAATAGGTTACCCCAATTCTCAAAACAAACCTCTTAAATAGATGCTATTATTCTAATTTTTATGTTGCACTATTGAGAAAATGTAGGCTCAAGGAAATTAAGCAATCCATCCAAGGCTCCATCCCCACATTTTAAAAATGCATCAAAACCCCTCTTGCAATTCCCCATCTGAGACTGCAGGCCAGGCAGGCCAAGAGGGTCCCCTGGTCCCCCACATACACACAGCACCACGCCTACACCGACGTTTCCCTTCTTGATCCCAGGGTGTTACTACCGTGACTTCCACAACCAAAGTCAGGGTGATGCTTTTCCTTGAAGATCACAAATAGGATAGAAAAAGAAAGTGGGAAGAGGATGAACAAAGGCTGACAAAGTTTCCTAGCAAGCTCCTAATCCTACAACCACACTATATTAGAGCTAGAAGTTTCCTAGCAAGCTCCTAACCCTACCACCATGCTAGATTAGAGCCAGAAGTTTCCTAGCAAGCTCCTAACCCTACCACCATGCTAGATTAGAGCTGGAAGTTTCCTAGCAAGCTCCTAATCCTACCACCACGCTAGATTAGAGCTAGAAGATGAAAAGGACAGAAAGAAGTCGAAAAGACATACAAGTGAGAAACTTAAAAGTATATTTAATGATCTGTAAACAGCTCGGTACAATATTCTGAATACACATGTATGTTCTGTTCCTATTTAAGTAATAAGAAGCAACACAACTAAAATACACAAAAGACTGTACCAGCCTCATGTTTGCTTCCCCAGGGAGCCTGAGGCATGTCATAGCCTTGGACCCCCTTGTATTACTAACCACACATCTCTGGCGCAGTTCTAGGACATTGAGGAACCATTAGATTTGGACTTCAGATCCCTTTGAGGTTGAAAGGGAGACTGGGGAAGGCTTTTCCCTTTTCACCAAAAGAACAGGGAAAGAACAAGTCTCGCAGGTGCTGGTTAATCTGGTAGGTGGGCAGCCTTTTCCCTACTCCAGCCTGTCACTGCAGGCCAAAGGGCACAGGCCTCCTCTAGGCCCAGGGCCCTCCCGCACCTGCAGAGGACCGCCAGGACGATCGCCTTTCTGCTCCCCTAAGGGTTCTCCTTGCAGACCTGACACATCAGCTGTGTTCTCAAGGCATGTTTTCCCGACCACATTCACTTCTGTGTGTTTATTTTTGGAGAGATTTCAGGTTATCTTAGCCTCCCATATTGCTAGTTCTCATCAATTTTTTTTTTTTTTTTTGGAAGGGACTTACTACTTTTAAAATGCCCCCATTTTAGAAAAATTTAAACTTAGTAAGATAACAAAAAGATGAGACTTTATTTTTATTTATTTATTTATTTATGTGTGTGTGTGTGTGTGTCCCCATTTTAGAAAAATTTAAACTTAGTAAGATAACAAAAAGATGAGACTTTATTTTTATTTATTTATTTATTTATGTGTGTGTGTGTGTGTGTGTGTGTGTGTGTGTGGCCAGCTCAGCCCACCAGGGGGCGGGGCTGGCTGGCATGTGGTGCTGGGGGATTGAACTGCGGTCCCTGTGCTTTGCTAAGCTTGTTCTAAGTTAAGTAGGTGCTTTAGACCACTGAGCCATCTCACCAGCCCAAGATGAGACTTTAGACATTAAGAAGTTTCATTCTGTTGAGCAGGAAAACATGACTTTGCCTTTTACTGCTTTCCACTCTTTACTTTAACACACCCTCCCCTTATGCTTCCTGAGACGGAGCCCAGGAAAGAGCTCTATCACTAAGCTACATGCACAGCCCTATTTCAGTCTTTTCAACTATAAAACTAATGCATGCTCTTTATAATGACTGGTAAATACAAAATTATGAAAACTAAAATTTTTCAGTCTTTCTTTCCCTGTCTCCCAAATAGAATACTATTAGCGACTGAATACCCATCCTTCCATACTTTCCTGTGTATTTATGAATCTATGCAGTTGAAAACATAATCATGAATTTTACTCTATAACTTGTCTTTTAGTAGTATAAGACATCTCTTTTGCTACTTCATTTCAAAAGGAAGACACTTCATTAACTTGCTGGACAGAGGAGAAGTGAAGTAACAAAGCACGTGCTCTGCTCCTCGGATGGAGCAGGTACTGACACCGCATGGCACTGCCACCCCAGCTGCCTATGGAAGCCGGGCTGGGCATGACCACACTTTTCCCTAAAATGACCCAGACTATTACCTATTACACTCCACTTCATTATGAAGAACACTTTACACTGTGTTCTGATTACACATTTCTCTGAGCATTTTCAATTATTAAATCTCTCAAAATAGCTCATTTTATTTTTGTAGACTCTGCCTATTCAACAAGATATTTATCTCTTAAATAACGTGCCTTGGCAATTATTTTTATCTCCAGCCATTTAACAAGAGCTGGCACATGACGAGGGCTCACAAATATTACTGAATGTGGAAATAAAACAGTAAGGTGAGAAACTTGCTGGGGAAAAGCCATGCTTTTATAACATCCTAAGAGGTGGACAAAGGCTATTTGCTGTTAATGTTAACAGTTCGCGAAACTTGAAAAAAAAAAAAAAGCCCACCACAGAATTATCCTATTTACAAAATAGCCACCTTCCTTCAAAGTATACTTTTTTCTGATCATAAAATACCTTTTCCACTATAAAAGGGAGTGACAGAGATGGAAGGAGATGGAAGAAAAAAAGGTGACCAAGACATCAGCCAAGTTGCTTTACAATAATCGAGGTTTTATTGTAACATAATTTGAGGCAGCATTCTTTAATAGCTAAATCATAAATTAAAAGACCACTAATCTCTGATGCTGGCAAGGTTTTCTTAAACTGGGACATATATTTCCAGATGTATTTGTATCTTTGCATCATTAAATCTCTTGCCAAGAGTAACCACTTGAAATTAAAAGCAATGTCAAAAGAAAAGAGTGTGTTCGGCGGAGCAGAGAGGCGGCGACGCGCGGAGAGCAGTATCATCGCCCTTCCCACCTCCGAGCAGAGACCCCAACTGAGGTGTAAAATTCTGAAACATCCTCTCACAGAACAGAGAGACTGTAAAACCACACGGGGAAAAGGCAGTCCTTGCTCTTAGAGTCGGGGCGCACCTTTCTGTCTCTTGCTTGCTGTGTGGGTACTTTGGCCCCCCACGCACCCCAGTGCCAGGCCAGCGGCCTGCTAACCCTCTACAGCTCTGACCGCCATCTCGCGCGGTGATTCCATCCCTAGCTCATCCCCAAGCTCCGTGCTCTACAACCTATGGCCTCGTGCAGCCTATACCTGGATATTTAAAAGACAACTCAAATCTAACATGGCCACGTGGGTCCCTTACGTTCTCTCCCCAAACGTGCCCCATTTTCTCTATCTCGGTACACAGCCCCACCTTCCACATGACGCTATTCCCAATGCCTCTCGTCTCCCACGCACACACCTGAGCTTCCAAGGCACCCTGTTGGCACCATTTCCAAAACTGACCCTAAACTCCCCAGCTGTAGCACTCCAGTTTAGTTTTTTTGTTTTTTTTATTCTATCATTTTTATTCTATGAATTTAGTACTATTTTATTTAAACTGTATTTTTGAGTCAGGACCCAAATGAGGCATATACATTGAAATTTTTCTTCATTTTTTTAGTCTATCTTCCATTCACACTTATTTATTTTGTTAAAGGAAATGGGTCTGCTCGCCAGCTGCAGCCCTTCACATCCGCTGGGCTGAAGCGGACAGCCCCTCCTCGCCCGTCTCCCGGCCACCACTGCCCTCTGCTGTCCATTCGCGACGCAGCAGCAGGGGGCGCCGTCAAAGCCCCAGCGCAGAGCCCCCAGGGCTCAACGCTGCCACCTAGAAGTCTCCCTGCTCAGCTGAGTTCAAAATCCTCGGCTCGCATCCTTGCTTGAAAGGCCTAGCAAACCGTCCCCCTCCCGCGTCTCTGCTTCATCAGGCCCCTGCCAGCCTCGCGGGCGCGACTTGGACGCCCTCCGCACCACGGCGTCCGCGGGCTCTCAGCCCTAGCCTGGGTGTGGCCTGGCACCTCGGCATTCCGCAGCCAGGGCGCCCACAAAAGTCAGCTTCTCAGGAAAACCTTCCACAAGATCCAGCAGAACCACATGTGCATTTCCCCTCTGGCCCAGAGATGGCACTTACAGAGATCCGCGGGCAACATCGGGGCGAAGCGAGCGACGCTATTGGCCTCCTAATAGAGTACACTGGGCATCACCAAGGAAATGGTCTTGGGATGCGCACACGCCGAATCTGGATCTAACTACTCCTCTCCAGGGAAGGGCCAGGGAGTAAGCAAGGGACAAAGCTGACACCCGCACGGCCACCATAGATGATTTGTCTTATTATTCCATCTTACTCACTTTTGTCCCTACCTCCTCACCCTCCCTTTTACAGTCATTTCTTTTAACAAAATAAGTGTGAATGGAAGATAGACCAAAAAAAAGTTTAAAAAAATTACAATGTATGCCCCTCATTTGGGTCCTGATTCAAAAATACAGTTTAAATAAATAGTACTAAATTCATAGAATAAAAATGATAAAAAAACCAAAATTTGAAATCTCTGTGTTCTAATAGTTTGTAGGCATGGGCCTCGGAGGGTGAGAGTCTTAAAGGGTACGTATCTTTTAGAGGTGCAAGCCAGCACTGCTGTGACAGGTGACACAGTGTGGTGACACAATCAGTAGGGAGAGCAGGAAGGGGGCGGGCCACTGCTGACCGAAACCGGCCGGCAGGCTGCGGCGCAGCTGGGGCAGGGCTCGCGGGGCCAGCTCCGCCCACTCACAGCTTGCTGACTGCTAAAGCTGAGTGGCCGCTGGATGGGCCGGGGCTCCTCGGCCCGTCCATCTGCTGCTGTAATGTTGCGACTTCTTCACTAAATTTATTTAAAAGTCAACCAGGTCCTCATTACAACACTTTTATTTCTCAGTTTAACGTCACTGTGTAGAATTATTCATCATTTTGTGTTGTCTGACTAAAGCCAAGCTCTCCAAGAGCAAAAGCTCCCTCTTCTTTACTGATATTATCAGCACTCACTTCGCAACAATGCTGAACGAATAAGAAAATAGCATGCGGAGGGGCTCCTTGGAGGGGTTTTGTTTGGTCTGATAGGGGGCGGGGGGACTGAGATTAAACCTCCCATCTTCTCACTGAACTATCCCCTGAGCTACACCTCCACCCTTTTGGTTTTTGAGACGGGGTCTTGAGAGTTGTGGCTTCCTTTACAGCTGGAATAGTACCTCATCGCTTCACAGCCAGCGAAGTCAGGGCAAGGCTTGGCCAAGCCCAGCCACAGGGCTTACCTTGACTTCGATGAAGTCGGGACTCCCCAGGGACACCAGCTCGGCGTAGGCCTGAAGCTCGTCCACGTTCCAGGACTTCACGAGCGTCAGTCTGTAGACAGTGCGCTGCCTCTACAATGAAAGGAAGGTCAACTTTAGTAGCAATCTCTGTGGAAGTCACCTAGTAAGGGAATTCTCAAACTTTTCCAATCCACGGAGAACCCAGGGCAGGTGAACCCCAGAATAAGCTTAGGTAAATGAAGTTACATTTGAGGGACAGATGAAAACAAGATGCGAACATGAAAGAAGGTTCTCATACACCTTATAAAGGCATAGGTGTTAAGATGTCTTTTCTGTCCCTCACCACACCTAACGCTGCATTAGGTTCCCAGTGGTTTTGTGATAGACACACCCAATTCAATTCAGTAAAAAGCGGTAAACTGATGAAATGGCTTTAGGCTGTGAGAAAATTAATTCAAACAACCTTTAGGCTTTTGGGTAAGGACCACTCAAGCTGTTAGTGACAAGAATAACTACTGTTGCCTTCGCTTCCTGCTTTCTACTTATTTAATAACCTCCTGGTGTTAAACACATTATGGACTACCAAGGGTCCCATTTGTTCACCATGTACCCAAAAGATGTACCCACTTTCCAAAAAGCTTACAATCTTCAACTTTGCAGCTCCTGCCCAAGGCTCAAAAGAAATAGTTTAGAGATACATAGACTTACTGAAAAAAAAAAAAAAAATCTCACAACAAAATTATTGATAGCTTGGGCCACAGAGATAGCTCAGCAGGTAAGCACAAGGACCCGGGTTCAATCCCCGTACCACAGTGCTGGCCCCACCCTGGGTGTACTGAGCCAGCCACCAAGACAGGGCATGGTGGTGCATGCCTGTAATCTCAGTGCTGAGGAGGTTGAAACAGGAGGATTGCTGAGTCCAAGCTACGTAGCAAGACCACGTACCAAACACATAAAATCAAAATTATTGATAGCTTAATATCTAAAGTATGAGCCTCTCCTGAGTGAAGCCAGAAGTGTGACTTGCTTGTAACAGGCAGAAAATGGCAAAGGCGACAGGGTGTAGGGAGCTAACTCCCAGGGAAATGGTAAGGCCCAATATATTTCAGAGAAAAGCAAAGTGAAGACTGAACAAAAAGACTAATCTCTTTACTACCAGACACATGTCCATTTGCAGTCAGTACACCTAACAACCCAGGGCCTTCACACTAAGCTATGTCCTCGCCCCTTTTTATGTTTAATTTTAAGACATGGTCTCACTAAAGTGCTAAGTTACCCAGACTAGGCTCAAAGTTGAGGTTTTCCTGCCTCAGCCTCCCAGATCGTTGAGATTGCAGACATTTGCTCCATGATGCCTGGCTTTTTATGTTTGAAATCTTTCATAGTAAATAAAGAGAAGAAAAAAGAGAAAACATTTGAGAACTGTAATGAAGAATATCTAGCAGGTACATCACAAAATAATGTTTACCAAGAATATTTGCTCACATATACTCAAAAGTTCCTTTGGAAATGTATTAGACAATGCAAGAAAAGAAATAAATATTCTGGGCTCCCTGCACATAGCTAGAATTATTCTAAGGCTAAATAGGGAGAGGGAGAAGGGGGGGAGAAAGAAGGGAGGGAAGAAGGGAGGGAGGGAGGGAGGGATGGACAGACAGCAAGAGACTGAGACACACAGAGAGAAAGAGAGACAGAGAGAGTGACAGAAACAGAGAGGCAGAGGAAAAAAACTACAAACCAATCTCATTTTTTTTTTTTTTCTGGAACTGGGGAATTGAACTCAGGCCCTTGTACTTGCCAGGGAAGTGCTTATTCTACTGAGCCATCTCCCTGGCCCCTCCAATCTGATTTTTACATATGCAAAAATCTTAGGGACAACTTAGAAAATAAAATTCAGCACTATTTTAAAAATTATAAGAATATAGAGATGATGCAACATGGGGTGACAGGCAGGGTAACACAGTTCATCATGCTAATAATTCAACACAGAAAAACCATCACCTTCAATAGCTATCCAAAAGTATTTGATATATGTAGTGTAAAAGCCAACCCAGTTTTTTAAAGTAGAAAAGAAATTTTAAAAACCCAGTAAATTCAAACATTAAAAAACATACCGTTAATGTAAAGAAAAACATCTTCTAGTCAATAGTCCATGAAACTCATAATGGCTTTTAAAAAGTTACTCCAATTTAGTCAAGACTATAGAGGAACATTCATGGTATTATTTTTTTTATTTTAACACTTTCTGCAAGTTACAGTGAAAGCAAGAAGGCCAGGATAAGAATTACTGGAAAGTATACAAGAAACATTCAGTTACAAGGTAATACAACTGGCTTTTTTTTTTTTTTTTTTACAACTGGCTTCTTGAAAACTTAACATCATCAGGTAAAAAATTAAGAGTCAAAGAAATTAAGAGTCAGAGAATGGTTCAAATGAAAGTGAGCTGGGACCACAATGAATTCCAAGCCATGCAATCTTGGGGACTTTACCCAAGATTAAAAGTGTTAAGCCATGTGGCCGCTAGAATCAGCGTGAAGGCAAAAAATCCTACCAAGTGGTAGCTATTATATGTCAGCCATAATTGATGACAAAATACAAGGCAAAGAATATTTGACTTACAATTATAAAATACATCTACCAAAACCTAGAGATGAACCTATGAAATAACTTGCCTTACAGTAAATAAAATAAGCTCTTCTGAGAGAGCTAAAGAACACCTGGCCTACATGGAGAGCCATGGTGGATTTATAAATAGAGCATCATCCCAATTGGGGTTGAACAATACTTTGAAAAAATAAACTAGCAGTGACACAATAAACACAACAGCAGGAGTGAGCAAGCTGCGCTCACGGCGTGCGCGTGACTATCGTCCTCACTTCCCAGGTAGGAATCGGAGGCAGAAGCGATAGGCCATTGCCAACACCCTCAGCTGGGATGGCAATGCACACACATGGAAATCCTGAGAACCATGGCAAGCGGAGAGGAGGGCCGCAGGGGGCAAGAGCACTAGAGCGGCCACCGTTGTGAGGCAGCCATCACCAGAGGCCGCGCCCACGGGGTCGGAGCCACTTCTTTATCTAAAGACAGGGGTCCTGGCTGGAGTGGTGGGGTTTGCATTTTTTGTCTGTGCTTAAAAATTATATCAACAGAATCATATGTTCAGTCATGTCTGGCTTCTATCAATAATGTCTTCATGAAATTTGAACTTGTTGCCACGTCCTGGGATTTGTTTGCTTTCTTTGTTAGTAGTAGTCCATTCATGATAATACAACAATTTATTCAGCCACTCTCTGGTGGTAAAAACTGGGATTATTTCTAGATTTCAGCTATTACCAAAAAACTGCTGTTGTCTCGTATAATGTTAAAGAGTTTAATTCTGACTGTTCAAGGAAATTATATAAAATGCTATTATGACAGATATAAAGATATAGATATTAGAGACAGATAGATAGATAGATAGATAGACAGACAGACAGACAGACAGACAGACAGACAGACAGACAGACAGATAGATAGATAGATAGATACTGGGAATTAAATCTGGGGCCTTTGCACTGACCTACATCACCAGCTCTTGCTTTGAAGCAGGCTCTTGCTAAACCACTAAGTTGCCCAGGCTAGATTTGAATTTGTGGTCTTCCTACCTCGGCCTCCCAGATGTCAGGCTCACAGGCATGTGTCATCATGCCCAGCCTGTGACACGTATTCTTCTGCACCTGTCCTCTATCAGTGAATCTGATGTTTGCAAGTCTCTCATGCTATTTACTGCCCCTTACAACCCCACTGCGTAAGTGTAAGGAGCCCCACACCCCCCGTGCCCACTTGAGGTCTCTCACATAACATGCTGCGAGCACCACTGTACTCGTCTCATGATGCAGAAGCACACCATTTTCTAGGTCTGACCTAAGGACAAAAACCTTGGACCATAAGACAACGCATGCATCCAATTGTAGCATACATCAGACTGACTTCCAAACATTTTCTCACACTTTCAGCTGCTAGATACCAGAGTTCTAGGTGTTCCTCATCCCCAACAACACTTAATGTTTCTACTCTCTATATGTAAGCCACTCTTGCACTGCTGGACTCTGCCTTGCCCGATTATTCATGAAGCTGAGTGGGTTTGCATTGAGTTTCTGGCCTTTTGCACCTCTACATTGGTCAAGTACACGTTCTAGCGTCTACAGTAGCTTTCTACTGGCTGTCTTTTCTGCTGATTCTCAACAAATCTGTCATGTTTTCTAGCACTAGCAGAAGAGCTGTTATAAAGGTATTAAAAATATTTTCATCTACTTTATAGTTTTCTTTTCCCATTGTATTCAATAAAATTCTTAACACTAATTTGTTATTCATTTCTTTCAAGATTAGTGTTTATATCTATTTAAAGAATTTTTCCAAGTACCAAGAACATAAAGATGATGTATTTTTCTAGAAATTTTGTCATTTAGTGTTTCACATTTGTATCCAAAATCCACAGAATTTTGATTTTGTATCCAAAATCCACCAAAATCCAAAGCTGGTTTCTGTGTTAAACTTATTTCCATGTGGATATTCCATTGTAATAAATACAATAAAGTCATGGAAGAGCCTACTTCAGTTGTTTTGTTTTCCTGTTCAGTGCTATTGATTCAACTGTTTAGCCTTATCCCAATGTCACACTGCTTGATAATAAGCAGTTTATGGCCACCAGAGTTGGTGGTTCTCAAACGGAGGCAATTCTGCACCACAGGGGCAGTGCGCTACAATGCTGTCATGTCTTTACATAGATTATTCTTACGGCCACATCTGCAGACTAGTTTTGCTTTCCACAAGTGGAGGTGCTACTGACACCTAGTGGGCAGAGGCCAGGCTGCTCCTGAACATCTCGCCATCACAGGACACTTCTGGCGCCTTTCCTATGCAGACCCATTCAACCTAAAATGCCAGCAGTCCCCAAACTGAGAGACTGTAGTAAATCAAATCTTATCCTGTATCCTGTCCCTTTTCAAGAGTGTCATGGCCCTCGGCCTACCCTACCATTTCAAAATCAGCTTATGAACTTCCACAAGCATGCATGATGCTATGATTTTCACTGAGGTGGAATTAAATCAGTATACACTGAGAATTAGAAT